GAGGCTGCGGTGGCCGGGAGCGGCCACTGCACTCCAGTCTGGGGCGACAGAGTGAGACTCCAACTCAAAATAAAATAAAATAAAATACTTTTTGCAGCTGACAAGTTATACAAATGGCAAGCTTACAGATTAACTGCATCTGGTTAAAGTGTCTACCCCTGACACCAGTTGTAAGCAAATGGGGCAGGCTCAGTTGGCTGCATGGCGCCCCTTCTGAGAAACAGGGAGGTGGGACATTTTCATCATTAGAAGGGACAGTGGCCAGGCACGGTGGCTCATGCTTACAATCCCAGCACTTGGGGAGGCCGAGGTGAGAGGACTGCCTGAGCCCACGAATTCAAGACCAGCCTGGGCAACTTGACGAGACCTCATCTCTACAATAAACCAAGAAAAATTAGCTAGGCTTGATGGTGCATACCTGTAGTTCCAGCTACTTGGAAGGTTGAGGTGGAAGGATCCCCTGAGCCCAGCAGGTTGAGGCTGTGGTAGCTGTGAGCAAGCCACTGCCCTCCAGCCTGGGTGACAGAGTGAGACTCCAACTCAAAAAAATTTTTAAAAAAAGAAGAGACAGTGGACCAACAAACATGGTGGCTGACTCTCTGAAACTGACACCTAACCTGGTTTTGGGTAGTAAGAAAAAGCTCCGGGAAGAAGAAATTCTGAGCTGGAACTTGCCAGACAAGTAAGAGTTAGGCATAAAGGGTTGAGGGATAAGGAGAAAGTTCAGGCACAGGAAGGAGAATGATCAAGAATGAGGGTAGAGTAGGAAAAGATGGGGCTGGACCGGCAGGCAAGGTCAGATCTTGCAGGACCCTGCAGGGCACAGTAGGGACTTCGGACTTCCTCCTGAGATCTACAAGGAGCCATGGGGGAGTTTCAAGGCATGGAAGGATATGAGCAAATCTGCAGTTCTGAAGGACAACTCTGGTGGAGCTTGGAGAGGAGAAGGGGAGTCAGAAAGTTGGGAGACCAACTAGGAGGCTGCTGCAAGGCAATGGTAGAGAGAAGATGGTGTCCCAGACTGGAAATGGTGGCGGTGGGGATAGAGAGTGGATTTGAGAGTGCCTGGAGATAAAATCAGCAGGCCTTAAGCCAGACACAGTGGTTTCATGCCTGTAATCCCAGCAATTTGGGAGGAGGAGGCGAGAGGATTGCCTGAGCCCAGGGGTTTGAGACCAACCTGGGCAACATGGCAAGACCTTGTCTCTACAGTAAATCAAAAATTAGCTAGGTATGGTGGTCCATGCCTGAGCCCAGCAGGTCAAGGCTGCGGTGGCCGTTGAGTGTGCCACTGTATTCTAGCCTGGGTAACAGAGTGAGACTGCGAATTAAAAAAAAAATCAGCAGGCCTTGGTGGTAGGTTGAATGTGGGGGTAAAGATGGGTGAGGAGTTGGGGATATCTGTTAGGAATTTTGTTTGAATTGAGTGGATGGTGGTACCATTTATCAGGCTGAACAACACAGGAGAAGCCTTTGGAGAGAAACGGTGAGCTTAGTTTTGAACATACTGTTTTAGTGCCTATACGGAAGTCCAAAAGGCAGTTGGACATATATGTTTGGGTCTCAGGAGAAAAGTATGAACTAGAGTGATAGATTTGAGAGCCACTGGGGCATAGGCAGTGGTTGAAGGCAAGGGAATGAATGAAAACAATTCCAGGTGACTGCAGCGTAAGAAAGAAGAGGGCCCAAGAACAAACTGGAGGGCGAGGGGGTGGATGGTTTAGGAAGAAGAATCTACAAAGAAGGTTGAGAAGGACCAATCAGGTAGGTAAGGGGACAAACCAAGAAAATAACAGGATCACGTGTCACAGAGGCCAAAGGAAAAACTCCAAGGAGGAAGTGGCCATGGGTGTACAGGCTGCAGAAATCGAGACAGACCATAATGGAGAAGTGACCAGTGGGTGTAAGGGAACAGAGGGCACTAGAGACCTCGGGAAGAACCGAGTCAGTAGAGTAGGCGGGGAGAAGTCAGCCTGAAGTGGGGTGAGAGCGCAGAGGCACAGTGGGAGAGAATTAAAATTCGGCAACTCTAAGAATGCAGATGTGAAAGGGAAGAGAGCGTGGCATCTGGAGAGGTTTTCGAAAGATGGAGGAGGGTGGTGCTTGAGGGAATCCACTCCTGTTCTCCTCAGCTTCAAAGGAAAGCAGAACACAACTGTGAGGCGGGCTTGGAGGAAAGCTGTGGGGGAGGTGATAAGGGCCTGTGTCTGACGAGGTGGCTGTTCCTGGGTCACGGGAGTCCCTATCAGGCTGCCACCTCCTTCCTGCCACTGGCCAAGGCCCTCCAGGGAGAGCTGGAAGAGAGGAGGAATGAGTCACACCCTGGAAGAAGCTCTGTGCCTTTGGAGGTCTTTCTGTCTGCCAGTAAGCCAGGGTTGGAACTGGCCAGGAGGGGGGTGGGGGTGGGGCGGCTAGAAGAGCTAAGCACCTGGAGCTGGCGGTTTCCGTTCTGGGGTTGACAGAGGGAGAAGGGAGTGGGGAGGATGGGAGGTGTGGAAGCCGAATTTCTAGAAGGGAAGCCGCGGGCTTAGGGGAATGCTGCCGGGAGCTGGCCGGGTGTCCACTCAAGCCTCCTTGCCCACAGGTCCCCATGCCTCTCCTCTTCTTGCTGCTCCTGCTGCCAAGTCCCTCACACCCTGAATCCACCTGTGAGGTCTCCAAAGTGACCAGCAAGCTAGAAGTGAACTGCGATAAGAGGAAGCTGCTGGCGCTGCCTCCAGACCTTCCAGCAGACACAAGCATCCTCCACTTGGGTGGGAACCCGCTGCGTACCTTCTCCACGGCAGCCCTGGTGCCTTTCACCCACCTCACTCAGCTGTACCTAGATCAATGCGAGCTGACCCAGCTGCAGGCCAATGAGAAGCTGCCACTGCTGGAGACTCTGGATCTATCCTATAATGCGTTGAAAAGTCTGCCCTCCCTAGGGCAGGCACTGCCTGCTCTTGCTAGCCTGGACGTCTCCTTCAACCAACTGACCTTGTTGTCTCCTGGTGCCCTACAGGGCCTGAGCAAACTCCATGAGCTCTCCCTGCGTGGCAATAAGCTGAAGACGCTGCCTCCAGGGCTCCTGGCGCCCACACCCCAACTGAAGAAGCTCAATCTGGCTAACAACAAGTTGACTGAGCTGCCCGCTGGGCTCCTGGATGAGCTGGAGCAACTTGATACTCTCTTCCTCCAAGATAACTCACTGTACACCATACCAAAGGGCTTCTTTGGGAACCTCCTCCTGCCTTTTGCTTTTCTCCACGGGAACCCCTGGTACTGCAGCTGCGAGATCCTCTATTTCAGTCGCTGGCTGCAGGACAATGACAAGAATGTCTATCTATGGAAGGAGAGTCTGGATGCCACTACGGCCATGACTCCCAATGTGGCCAGTGTGCGATGTGCCAATATGGACAAGATGCCTGTCTACGACTACCCAGGGAAGGGCTGCCCCACAGTTGGTGATGGGGATGACGCAGACTACGATGACTATGCAGAAGAGGTCACTGAGGGTGATAAGGTAAATGTCACAAGGACTGTGGTCAAGTTCTCCACCAAAGCCCATACAATCCACTGGGGCCTATTCTACTCACAGCCTACTGCTTCTCTAGACAACCAGATGTCCTCCACGTATCCAACCCAAGAATCCACATTTTCAACCAGATGGATCTCAGATTCTACCACATTCCCAACTACCACAGAATTCAACACAATATCCGAAACTCCAAAATCCACTACTGAACCTACCACAACTTTGACCACCCCAGAGCCCAATACGACCTCGACCACCCCAGAGCCCACCACGGCCCCAACCACCCCAGAGCCCACCACGGCCCCGAACACCCCAGAGCCCACCATGGCCCCGAACACCCCAGAACTCACTGCAACCACCCCAGAGCCCACCACAACCATTTCAGAACCCACCACAACCCTGAGCACCCCAAAACCCACCACGTTCTTAACCACAGAACCTACCTCATTCCCTACTATCTTCAAATCCCCAACAATCATCCCTGAGTCTAGCCAGCTCCCAGAGGTCCGCGGGGTGGTTCAAGGGCATTTTGATAGCTTCAGAAAGGACCCTTTTCTCATCCCTGACTTTTGCTGCCTCCTCTCACTGGGCTTCTACATCCTGGGTCTCCTTTGGCTCCTGTTTGCCTCTGTGGTTCTCATCCTGCTGCTGACCTGGATCTGGCATATGAAACCACAGGCCCTGGACTCTGACCAGGATAATGCTCTGGCCACAGCCATGCACACCACATATCTGGAGTTGCAGAGGACAACTATGCACACCACATATCTGGAGCTGCAGAGGGAAAGGCAAGTGACGGTGCCCCGAACCTGGCTGCTCTTCCTTCGAGGCTCACTCCCGACATTCCGCTCCAGCCTCTTCCTGTGGGTACGGCCTAATGGCCGTGTGGGGCCTCTGGTGGCAGGACGGCGGCCCTCAGCTCTGAGTCAGGGTCGTGGTCAAGACCTGCTGGGCACAGTGGGTATTAGGTACTCTGGCCACAGCCTCTGAGGGTGGGAGGTCTGGAGACCTTCAGAGAAGCTCTGATGGGCTCTCCTACTGGGATCTAGCTGGGGGGGGGCATAGGGTCATGGGGCAGTCTGTTCCTCTTCCTTCATCAAAAGCACCCTCTTCACTCACACACACACACGACCTCAGGCCTAGTGAATCAGGAGGTGTAGTGAAATAGAGTAGCTGAGTGGGTCACAGAACAGTGCCCTATGCTGCATGGGGCGCTGCCAGACCACACGGTTATTACCATCACTTTGGGGAGTTTTTAGGAAAAACAAACAAACAGAATAGAGCACGGCTCCCACATACATCTGCATATAGAAGAAAATTTGTAGTGATTTACCAGGATGTGAGCACTGATTATCTCTGGGTCTTATAAATATGGGTGGTTTTACTTTCTTCTCTTTACCATTTTCAAGTTTTCCGCCATTATTGTATACCATTTGTTTAATAAAACATAATTTCAAAAGAAAAACTTTCTTTTGGGCAAAGTGGCTGGGGCACCTGTCACGAGAATTCACAAAGTTACAACGGCCCCCACTCTGGTCAAAACGACTTGCCCAGGAAACCTCCAGTTGTGGCCTACATTCCTCCTGCCTGGGGTACTCCCTTTTGTCCTCCAGGGGTGGCCACTCACCAGGTCACTTCAAGCATCAGATCCAGTCCAAGAACCACACATCTCCCTAGAGTTTAGTGAACACTGCTGAGACTACCTGCCTGCAGCCTACAGTACTGAGGCAAAGTAGCTCTCCTCACTGCCCAAGCTAGCGGGTGAGGAGGGTGTGGGCTCCACCGTGTGTGCCATCTTGGGGAGTCTGGTTGAACAGCCTCGGGTTCCTGCTCTCAAGCTAGGACGCAGGCAAATGGAACATCCTTCTTTTTTTTTTTTTGAGTTGGAGTCTCACTCCGTCACCCAGACTGGAGTGCAATGGCCGCTCCCGGCCATCGCAGCCTCGACCTGCTGGGCTCTGGCAATCCTTCCGCCTCAGCCTTCCAAGTAGCTGGAACTACAGGCGCACGCTACCACGCCCGACTAATTTTTGGTTTGTTGTAGAGATGAGGTCTTTGTCAAGTTGCCCAGGAGGGTCTTGAACCCACGAGCTCAGGCAATCCACTCACCTCAGCCTCCCAAAGTGCTGGGATTACAGGCTGAGCCGAGCCCGGCCCATCCTTCTTTCATAGATTCTGCCATTCCCTGACCCCACTGGTGAGGCTTCCTCTCCCGCCATCTCCAGCACAGGCCAGAGTATGGGGTCCAAGGAATGGGAGAGAAAGCTGAGCCTTTCTGGCTCCATGGAGACCCCTCTTTTCAGATAGTACTAACAGGATTTTTCTGGGCAATTTTTTTCAGGTCCCTTCCTGCTATGGGAGTTTTTCTGTCTTAACAAATCCTACTTTCTCACCAAAAAAAAAAAAAAAAAAAAAATCTTCCTAATCTGAAAATCTGACTGCATCTCTTTCTGCTGTGAACACTTCCCCAGGGGGACCAACTCCTGAGCTTAGCAGAGATGCCATGCACAAACCCTGTCTGACAGTGCAGCTCCATCTCTCATAGCAAACACTTCACAACCTGTGCTCCAACCATTGCAAACTCCTCAGATCCCCTGCTCCCCGACACTTTCCTTTCTAATCTCTTTTCCTCACTCCAGCCAGGTGTGCTGCCCCTGCCCTGCCCTCACTCAGTCTAACTACTCGTGTGCAGGTCTCTCCTCCTAGGCTGGGCCAGGTACTCCAAGTCACTCTGCAATGCTCTACTGCTACACTCCATTTCCCAACTGCCCCTGTATAATCTTCTCCTCTGGACTAGGAATTCCTTAAGGGCAAGGTCCAGGCTTCAAGTGTCTCAAAGCAGCTACCCAGGCCCAGGACACTGTGTGCACAGAGCGAGGCAGCAGCAGGGGCGCCAGGATGCTGAGCTCCACCTCTCCTGTTGACAAGACTCTGCCAAGGGGACAGCTCCCACCTGCTGCCTGCCTGTCCCCTGGCCTGGCACAAAGCCCTCAGGCCACATGCTGCCCAGCACTCCTCTCAGTTTCACCTTCCTATGTCCTTTTATGCCCCAAGAGGTTTTTAGGTTCCTTGTGGGCTGGTCCTGGGAACATCTCCTTATAAAAAAACAAATAACACGGCCACTCTTCCCAGCCTGAGACCCAGCTGGGTCTCTGGCCACCTTTCCCCACTTTCCTCAAGCCTCCAGGAGTTGGGGCCTGGCTCCCAAGCCCACCCCCATAAGCCCTGCCCCTTCACCCTCACTGGCTTCAGCCCACAAAGGTCTCTATTCCCTCCCTTTTTAGACTGCAGAAGTAGTCACCAGACCCCAGGTGGGTTTTCCTGGGGATTATGGGACATGACTTGTGCATCTGCAGCATTCTTGGGCAAGCGATTGGGAGGCAACAGTCAGGGCCTGGGGTTTGGGTTTTCCTGGTCCTGTCAGCTGCTGTGGCACAACAGATTTATAAAGCACTTGCACAAGACCAGTGGGTGCTTTTTCTTTAATAATTTTTCTTAAAAACTCCAGTTCCTATTCTCCAGGGACACCAGCTTCTTTGTCCAGTCTCTTCCCCCTCCTAACTTCCCCCAACTCTCCAGATTTGGGGGTGGTGTCACCAATCCAATTTATTAAGTCCTCAATGAGGGGGAGGAAGGGCCACATCTTCCCACTGTGGGCCCTTTAACCATCTTGATGGCTTCTGTTCTCTGTCCCCTCAGCTCTGCCTTGGCGTCCCCACTGAGAAGGGGCATCTTCTGCTGTCCTGTGTGCCCTGAAACTAACACCCAAGAGGAGGCCAGAAATCCTCAGGGAATTTCCCAGCTCCCCTCAAGGAACAGCCAGGGACAGAGAGGTCACAGGATCAGGACAAGCAGGGCAAGCTGCAGCAGGGGATAGAACAGACCAAAGTCCTTTACCGCAAAGGAGGAAACCAAACTGTGAAGGGGAAATAAATAGAAGGGCCCAGGGCAGCAGAGTCCAGGCCCCCGGGGCACAGTGACTGTAGGAGTAGCAGGCGAGTAGGAGGCCCGGCACACTGACTCCAGGCCCCCAGCCACCTCAGCCACTGAGGAAGAGACGCTTGTAGGCCTTGTTCATCTGCTCCAAGAAGATGAAGGTGAGGACGGTGTGGGGGCCCAGGCGGGCATAGTATGGTGTGAAGCCTTTCCATAGGCTGAAGAAGCCTTCATAGCGAACAACCTTTAACAGCACATCCTAGACAGACAGGCAGGCAGGGTGCTGGAGTTAAGACTCAGACTCTAGGGCCTTACCCCTTACCCAGTTACCCTCTCAGCCTTCCCAGGGCACCCGACACTCCCGCCCAAGCCCCCAAAACTGCCTCCTCACCAGCCCATTCTTGTATTCCGGCTTTCCGTCAATCATTCGCATGTTCTGGATCCTGAAGGGGAGGAGGTAAGGGCATTGAGAGACAGAAAGAGGGCCCTCCCACCCTTCTCCAGGCCCAGGTCCACACACTTACCGGGTCTTAACAATGTCAACAGGCATGGAAGCGGCAGTGGTGACAAGACCGCTGATCATGCTGGCGCAGAAGTGACACAATATGTTGTCAGAGAAATAGCCTGGGGGGGAGTGAAGCAGGGAGTGGCAGTCAGCTCAGGGGTGGCTCAGGCCAGGCTAGGAGCTAAGGGCCCAGCTCTGGGTCTCACCTGAGTCCAGCAAGAACTGCTTGGATTGGGAGTAGGAGGCAAGCTGGGCAGCATTGACGACAACAGCCCGAGCCATGGTTGGGATGCAGCCCTGGAGGTAGGGGAGAGGAAGAAGAGTCAGAAATGCCTAAAACTTGACCCCATATTCCCCATGTCTCTGGCCTTTTCACTCACCCGCCATAGTGTGGGGACCCCCTCCTCCTGAGCGATTCGAATCAGGGCATTAAATACATTTTTGTAGCCACGGCGCTGGTCAGCTGGAAGCCTGGCGAGAAGGCAAGAAGCAAAGATCAGGATAGATCACCCTGCCTCGCGGAAGCAAAGAGAGGGAGACCAGAACAGGTAAACACTCTGCTCTAGGTCTGGGATGAGAAATTGAGCCTTTCATTCTAAACTCTGGGGAATAGGGCTGGGGTCAGGTTCAGACCTGGAACTCACCGGCCATCAGCAGTCATGCGAATAAGAGCTACTTCAGCTGGTGTTCCCACAAAGGCACCAGTTGCACCTGCGGTCATGCCAATCAGAGCCTTCAGCAGAAAGCCAGGGGGTGTGCCATCAGCCCCGGTCAGGCGTTCAAACAGCACGGTATATATGCCAAGGCGGGTAGTGGTGTAGGTGGCCTGGCGCAGCAGGCCAGCTGACAGCCTGGGAAGTGAGGGTCAATGAATCAGGCTAAGGTCTAGAGCTCCAACCCACACCCGACCCTCCATCCTGAGGCTCCAGTACCCGGTGTAAATGCCCCTCAGCCCTTCTGCCTTCAGGATGCTGGTGAGGGCATGGAAGCTGGTTTTGTACTCTCGAGTCTTGGCCCCTTCCCCGCTCAGCTGCATCCGGTTCTTCACCAGGTCCAGGGGCTGCACAAAAACTGTGGCTCCCATTCTGTGGAAGACAGGGATGGAGTCAAGGGCCAGGGGTCCCAGATGACATCTACCAATGACCACTGGAGACTGGCAGCAAGGGGTTACGAAGGTCAGGGGCCTGTCATTGGATTAAAGATTCAGGAGCCTGGTAAGCATGTGTCTAGGAGTCTCTCGCAGGTGTGTACCCGGAGCAATGGGTCTGAAAAGTCCAGCTGTCCAGTGGGAACCAAACAATGAAAGCGCTCTTAGCAGCTCCATGGGAATCAAGCAGGGATGTGGGACTGCATGCAGTCCGACCCAGGGAAGGGTGGAGGGGAGCATCCATGACCCCTGGATGGCGGACTACTACTCCAAGTAGTTCTGCAGGAGCCATTTCACGACCTGGAACCCCATACACCCCGGCAGAGCTAAGCAATGGGCTGGGAAACTCAGGTAGCCCGCCGGGGGTTGTGTAATGGCCCTGCATGCAGTCCAGAAGGGGCCCTGCAATGGGCCCCTGGCAGCTCATCAAGGACCTTGCAATACGCGAGGGGTCGCGCTGACCCCGCGCCGGCTCAGTTCACTACAACAGACCCAGAGATGAACCCAGCCCGATTCCTAGCGCCTGTCCCCTCCTCCTCCTCTCCCATCCCTGGGGCCTGAGCTTACCCGGCCAGGCCCCCAAACAGGAACTTGACGGACTTAGGGGAGGTACGGGGCTTCCCGTCCATCCCGCCGGCTCCGGGACTCGCCGTCGCCGCCATCGCCACTCACTGGCCCGGGCTCCGGGTCCCGTGCGCGCGCGGCCCCGCTCGCGCCCAAGGTGACACCGCGCGCGCAGCGGACCGTGGGCGCGCGCACGGCCCCCTGGCTCTCAGGGCCAGCACTAGCTGGCAGCCGGCGGGGGCGCAGGCGCAGCGCAAAGGCGGCCGGGAGTGAGGCGGAGCTGAAGGAGGAGCTTGAAGGATGCGTGCGGGAAGGGGTGTGGCTGATTTAGGAGCCCGAGGAAGGGCGCAGTTCTTACCGAATTGGAATCGCGGGAAAAAAGACAGGCGTTTGTTTGAAGGCCTCGCGAGACTGAGTGATTCCGGTTAGCCAGAGTCATGAGATCTCTCGCGATAGATGTAGCAAGCGCCCCTCTGCGAGCGGTTGTTGGGGAGTGTGGTGAATACTCTCGCGAGATTTGAAGGTACGGCGGCGGCAGCGGCCAGCAGGAGGAAGGTTTGTAAACAGGGCAGCTCCGGAACCAAGGGGGGTAACGATTAGGTCGTCTTCTGGGACATCGATGCTCCTGCCATCTCCACAGGCACTCCCTCCATCTCTAACCTTTCTTTAACTGGGCTTTTAGGACCGGAAGTTTCTCATCTTGAGCGCCCAATGCAAGAAGCGGCCCGACTTTCCTAACCGGAAGCCCTTTCCAGCGGATAGGAAGACGGCCCACCTGGAGGAAGTCCCACCTCCTCGAGCTCCCCCACCCTTCCAGAAGTTTTTCTGTCACCTGTGTTAGCCTCCCTCCTCTTTCCCCGTTTTATTCTCGTACCAGAGAAGGATCCGTTTAGTGTCGCCCTCCCAGCTCCACCAGACGGGTTGGACATCTCGTTCCCCAATCGGGGTTCTTTCCCCGGTGCCCCATGTAGCTGGGAAGTGGGACCTGGGGGTGATTGGACCCCTGGGATCCTGAAGGAGGGGCAGGGCGCAGAACTACGCTTCCGTCCGGGTTACCAGAACGCGGCCTTCACAGCCTCTCCTCTCTCGCTACCATGCACCCCGGGGCCTTCCCGCTTCCTGTGGTTGTGGCCACTGTGCTGTGGGGAGCGGCCCCCATCCGGGGGCTCATTCGAGCGGTGAGTTTGAGGGGCGAATGGGTAAAGGGCGCTGAAGGGGGTGGGTTGCAGATTGGAGGGGAACATGGACTTTTTGTTCTCAGATCTCGGACCACAATGCCAGCATGGACTTTGCAGACCTTCCAGCTTTATTTGGGGCTACCCTGAGCCAGGAGGGGCTCCAGGTGATTTTCTTCTTTTTTACTTTGCAAAATCCTCCATCCTGGGCAGGGGTTGGGGAGATTAGCCGTGGGTGAAGCTGAAGGTAGGAAAAGAGTCAAGGTAGGAAAAGAGTCAAGTTAGGAGCTAAGTGTACCAGCATGTCTAGTGTGGAATCCAGAATGAATCTAGAGGGAGAAGACAAAGTGTGCACCCCTAGAACTCTGAGCTTATCAGGGAGACTGGCAGTGGACAAAGATAAAAGGAACAAGAGATGCTTTTCAGTAGGGTCTCATGTGCCAGTTTTTGGTTATATGACCTGGGGCAAATTAATTTCTGAGTCTTAGTTTGTTTTACTGTAAAATGGAATTGTAGAAATTTTCTTAGGGTTATTGCAAGGAGTAAGTTAGACAAGCAGTTTTGTAGTACTTCATCACAGAGACTGCCACATAACTAGAACTCAGTTGGGCAGAGCAGATAGCAGTAGAGTTTTGAGATGGATAACTGGAAAATTGAAGGGAGGGGAGTGTGTTCTGTAGGAGTGTGTACTGGAGAGGGGAATGTGAAACAGAACCTGATGGGCAGGGTATTGTATTATAGTCAGTGGGAAACTGGAAGGTAGAAGAACTGAATTAGCTGGGAATATGGGGTACAGGTTAGCCCATAAAGGGAGAGTCTGGTGAAGAGACGGTGTTGGATGTAATTGCATTTTCAGGAGGCTAAGAGAAAATGTAGACTTCTTTTTATTTTTAAAAAATGTATATGGGCTCTATGTTGACCAAGCTGGTGTCAAACTCCTAGCCTCAAGTGGTCATCCTGCCTCAGCCTCCCAAAGTGCTGGGATTATAGGTGTGAGCCACCACACCTAGCTAAAAATGTAGACTTCTGATTTGGGTAGCATGCCCAAATACCAGGAATGAGAAGAAAGTGAGGATAGAAATGTGTACCATGTGCGGGACATTGTGCTTGGTGAGCCTTGTGGAGAGCAGAACCTAGAAAGGAAAAAACTAACTATTGTTTGCTTCTCTCTCCCAGGGGTTCCTTGTGGAGGCTCACCCAGACAATGCTTGCAGCCCCATTGCCCCACCACCCCCAGCGCCGGTCAATGGGTCAGTCTTTATTGCACTGCTTCGAAGATTCGACTGCAACTTTGACCTCAAGGTTGCTGAATGTGAAGTGGGAACTGGGCAGCTGAGTTTAGGTAAAAAAAGCCACCAAGAACAAAGAGAGGCAAGGCTCATGATGGCTCTTTGTTTCCTGCCTTGTTTCCTTAGGTTCTAAATGCCCAGAAGGCTGGGTATGGTGCAGCTGTAGTACACAATGTGAATTCCAATGAACTCCTGAACATGGTGTGGAATAGTGGTAAGGCTGAGGGATCTAGACAACTGGGTTTTCAGTAGAGCTCAGATTGAGAGATGATGGGAGGCTTGATGGCTTCAGGAAAAGAAGCCAATCCTTTGAGTGGGATGGGGCAAAAGTGCCAAATACCCAGGCTCCCAAAGGATTTGAATGGAGGCTTGAGTCCCCAGAGTAACACCCTGATCCCTGCAGAGGAAATTCAGCAGCAAATCTGGATCCCCTCTGTGTTTATTGGAGAGAGGAGCTCCGAGTACCTGCGTGCCCTCTTTGTCTACGAGAAGGGGTAGGATATGTGTCTCTTTCCCATTCTTCAGCAGTTCTGTTCCAGCCTGGAGCCCAGGCCTGCTCACTACCCCACTGATTCAGCCTCCTGTCCTCCCTTTTGGGCCTCTTGACTTTCTTCCCACTCCTTTCCCCACGCATTGGCCTTCTCCAGACCCAGTTACTCTGTCCCTCTTCCTTTGTCCCTTTTGCCTTTCTTGCCCATCTGAGACTGGTCTCCCTTTCCCCAGGGCTCGGGTGCTTCTGGTTCCGGACAATAGCTTCCCCTTGGGCTACTACCTCATCCCTTTCACAGGGATTGTGGGACTACTAGTTTTGGCCATGGGAGCAGTAATGGTGAGTAACTCAGGAACATTATGGGAAGAGCTGAGCTGAGGCCTGTAAGGCCAGGCTGGATCTGGAGTTGAGAGGTTGGGATGGTTTGTCCTAAATTGTCTAACTCTTTCTAAGCCTGCTCTATCCACTCCCCCTCTCCTCAGATAGTTCGTTGCATCCAGCACCGGAAACGGCTTCAGCGGAATCGACTTACCAAAGAACAACTGAAACAGATTCCTACGCATGACTATCAGAAGGGTAAGGAGTTTAGGGGAGGCAGGGCTCGGTGGCTCAGCTGTAATCCCAGCACTTTGGGAGGCTGAGGCAAGTGGAATGCCTGAGCCTGCGGGTTCAAGGCCAGTCGAGGCAACTTGGTGAGACCTCATCTCTACAATAAATAAAAAATTAGCCGGGCATGGTAGTGTGTGCCTGTAGTTCTGGCTATTTGGAAGGCTGAGGCGGAGGGATCACCTGAGCCCAGCAGGTCCATGCTGGGGTGGGCTGTGAGTGTGCCACTGTACTCCACCCTGGGTGATAGAAAGAGACTCCAACTCAAAAAAGTTAGGGGAGAGAAGGACTTTTCCCATCGCTTAACTGGTTCTGGAGTTTGAGCCTAGGAGATACGGGGTAAAGAAAGATGGCAGTGAGAAGGTGCCAGCCTGAGATGCCAACTTTTCTTCTCCTTTTATCCATAAATACAATGAGGGCAGGAGAGGAGGTGCAAATAGAACAGGAGATGGAGAGCAATGATAGTTGGGGAAAATGATGTGGGACAGACCTTGTCTATAAGGGAGGTGGAGAGAGAGCAGAAAAATGGAAGATGTGGCGAGGATTCATTCAGAAGGTAGAAACAGGTAAGGAGGGACTGGGTCTTTAGGTCCTGGAACCTCCAGTGCCCATATAAGGCTGTAGCATAAGCCCTGCCCCCCCTCATTTCCCCTCCTCCCACTCCCTATCTCCACTCTCACATCTCCCCAAAAGCCCACTTCCTTTACCTCTGCTTTGCTTTTCTTTGCATGTCCCTTTTAGCCTCAAATTCTTAAGTGTTCTGCCCTGGCCTTATCCTGCCTGCACCACTCTTGGCTCTTCCACTGGCCCTGTAGACCGAGGAAAATGAATTCGCAAGGCTTAGCTCCACCACAGGACTGCCAGAGTGTTTTCTTGTGGACCCTGGTTCAGTGAAGGACTAGATTACTTTCTGCCCCAGGAGACCAGTATGATGTCTGTGCCATCTGCCTGGATGAATATGAAGATGGAGACAAGCTGCGAGTACTGCCTTGTACTCACGGTGAGCCCCTCACTGCCTTTGCCCATGGCCCTATGCCATTAGCAGGCACTAAGTGATTTACCCTCATTCCTCTCTGCAGCCTATCACAGCCGCTGTGTGGACCCCTGGCTCACTCAGACCCGGAAGACCTGCCCCATCTGCAAGCAGCCTGTTCATCGGGGTCCAGGGGATGAGGATCAAGAGGAAGAAACTCAAGGGCAAGAGGGTGATGAGGAAGGGGAGCCAAGGGACCACCCTGCTTCAGAACGGACCCCACTCCTGAGCTCCAGCCCCACCCTTCCCACTTCCTTTGGTTCCTTAGCTCCAGCCCCCCTTGTTTTCCCTGGGCTCTCAACAGATCCTCTACCCTCTCCCTCCTCTTCCCCTGCCATCCCGGTCTAGTACGGACCGTTTCCCCCATGCACAGGTACCTCTGGTGACCTATTTGCACAGATCCTCTTCCTTCCTCCACTCTGCTAGTTGAGGGAAAGAGGATATTTCCATCCCATGTTTCTCAGTTACCCAGCCCTATCCTTTTGAGGGGCTTTGGGGTGGGGGTGGGGGAGCAAAGGGACTGAGTCGTCACTTCTTGGGTTAATAAAATTGTTTTTGTGGACTAAGGAACGGCAGAGATCATTCTCACAGAGAAGTTATCTTTTGGGGGAAATCACTTTTCTTTTTTGCCATAAGGGACAGAAGACAGATTGACCTATAGTCATAGGGACAGCCCCAGCAGGCATTTGCTGTGACTCAGAGGGGGAGCCCCACCCACACAGAGGATGACTCAACAGGCCCTGCCTTGCCCACAGGCCTGGACCCATTCTCTGGTCTGCATGGCTCTATTCCATTACCCACAATTCGACCAGCACACTTGAGGACCTAGACTTAAGAAATACTGGACGGGGTGGGCCACCTGGTCAGGTAGGCCTGAGGCAGGTGCTTAGTCCTGGACACAGGCAAGAAACCCAAATCCCTGGACTTTGTAAGTCCCTTAACCCTCCTGTTCCCAACCCCAAGCCTGGATAAAGGAGGTCACGATGCTTGTCCCCATTGTGACACCCAAGCTCAAACCACACAGCACCTTGTTAGTAGAATCTTTTTTATTCAGAAAAAAAAAAAAAAAACCCAAAAAACAAAAAAGTTTTCCAACCACACACAGGAAGGGTATGGGTAGGGGGAGGTGTCTGTCCATCCAGCCCCTGCCCCCAGCCCATGTGGTTTTGGCAGCAATAAGGGGTGTGGGGTAATGGCCCAAAAAATAAAAATGGTGTATGTGTGTACGGGAAGGGGTGCAAAAGCTGTGGGAGTGGTGGGAAAGGGACAGACGAGGTCAGTACTGGGAACGCCGCAGGTGGGAGGCCATTTCATAACATTTCTTGTTGATCAAACCGCCATGGACACCTTCTTTGCCCATCAGCAGGACTAGCGCTGGAGGAAAGAGAGAGGAGGCTAGGACCCAGGTGTCACAATTCTACCCCCTGCCAGCTGTTCAGCAGCTGTCCAACCCTGGGGGCTGTAACCCAACCTCATCCCTCCCAACCCCCCACACAGGCAGGCTGTCAGTCACCCTGAAACAATAGGGCTTTTCAAAAGGGGAAAATCAAGCTTAAAGGCTGCAGAAGAACAGACTAAAATTTAGGGGTCAAAGGCTCATAGAAATGTTGATTCATATGTTCAGGCTAGAAATGGCTGTTGACAGCCCACCACTAACAAGTTCTAACAGAAGAGCCTAAGAGATGAGCACTAAGTGCTAATTAAGGACCTCAACAATCTACCTACTCCAAGAAAACAGGGAGCTAATCTGAAGAAGTCAAAGCAGGAAGGAACTGAGAAGGCAATGCAGTTCAGCTTCTTTATATTACAAGATGAGGAACTGAGACAGAACTGGAGGGACTCTCCAATGTTCCAGCATCATTGGACTGGGAGCAGAATGCTGGTCTGGCTACCTTCACACAGGGGAACCACAAAGAAAAAAGCACCAAAAAGACTAACAGAAGAAGGCACATTAGGGATCTCAAGGATAAAGAAAGAGCAAGACTCAGAAACTCACTCTTGGCAGTCATGGTGACAGTGACATTGAAGGTGGGGGCTCCGCCGGTGCTCTTGGTACGAAGATCCATAGTAAATTCCCCATCCTGCAGCAGTGAGTCCCGGATCACAGAACATTTCTGGCCCCCAAGTGTCAGCCCATTCACGAAGAAACTTGACCGGTCTTTGCCAACCAGGACACCAACCTCAGCTGGCTAGAAGAGGAATCAAGCACCAATGAAGTCAAATCGGCACAAAAGATTCACCCTACTCTCCAAGGAATCACTCGCTTTCCGTTCTTCTGGGAGCTAGAAGCTCCGGAGAAGAGTGTATGTTATGTGCTCTGTATACATAAGTGAAACTTGAGAAACTCGGGACTGTGGCAAGTTAGTGCAGAAAAAGATTATGATCCTCAAAGCTAGAAAAAGGGGGACCAGGGAGGATGAGATGACATATTCCTTTGGAGACTTAGAGCCCAGTGTTTAACAGGGAAAGTAAACCTAGTGAGGAGTCTTTGGATGCTCAGAACTCTCCTTCAGGAAAAGCAGAAGCGGAGAGGGGAAGGGAGGGGGCGGGCGAGACAAGAGAAGCAACTTTGCCCTTATTTGGTCAAAGGTTCTGCAGGAGTTGTTAGGGGCCCGGACGCCTGGGTCTCTAAGTAACCTAGCGTTTAGGCCAGGTATCTCTGCTTGGGCACGAGGAAGTAGACCCCTGGGGGCTTTCGGGTAAAGTTGGAAAACTTTTGAAAGGGGACGGGGACTATACCCGGCAAGCCAGTTCTCAGGTCTAGATACCCCAGGGAACCTTTCTCCCCCTCCCCTTTACACCCCCAAAGCCCCACATCCGGTCCCCTCCCGCCCGGAAACCCCCTTCCCCCCCTTTCGAACTTCCGCTCCCCCTCCCCACTTCCGGGCAGTGTGGGCAGGGGAGGTGGTGGTGGGGGACAGCAGTAGTCATCCCTTATTCCTTAACTTATACTATCTCAGAACTTCTCACAAAGTTCCCCTGCTCCAGGCCCCCACGAATGGCGGGAAGACAGGGCGAGGGGACTTCCGGGATTGGCCTCACAGGAATGTTGAGTCCAACGTGCCGACTTGGGGGGGCGTGTGGCGGCCTCGCCCTCTCTAACGGGGCTGGGAGGGGCAGGGACCTGGGAGCCCACAGAGGACGGGCGTGGGACCAAAGCCACGCGCCTGGGGTTCCCTCCTGCATAAGGGGAAACAATGGTAGAGGGGGCACGAGCTGGCGGCCGGAAGAAAAGCTGGGGGTCCGAGGTTCCCCAAGTCCCTCCTCAATCACAATCCCCGGTTAAAATTGCAGCGTGTGCCCGCCCCGCCCTGGAGGAGACGGAAGTGGGCCGCCGCACCGGGCGGCGCGCCCCTCCCCGCCCTGTGCCCCGGATGTAACGCCCCGTCGCGGAAAGCGGGGCGGCGGGCGGGATGGGCGCCGCCGCCTGGGGCGTAGGACTTGGGGGCACTAAAAGGACCCGCTCACGTGCAGCCGCCATTCGCACCGCTTCCAGGGCAAGGACTCGGTTGGGGCCGTTCGCTGCCCTCCCTAGACCGCGCCCGCCCCCACCCAGGTCCCTCGCTCTGGGTCCAAGCCCGACCAGTACCCCAAAGCGCGCAGGCCTCGCAGTACCGTGATGTTGACGAAGGTTTTTCCGGGGACGGCGGCCCAGACGGAGGGCGAGTCCTTATAGCCCACGATGGCCGCGTCCTGACAGGTCCCGTCCGCCATGAGGTTGTCGATGTAGGCGTTCCACCCGGCCATGGCGCTGCTATTGGGGCTGCTCTCGGCGCTGCTGCTGGGGCCGCGGGCTGGGCTCGGGCTGCCTCGGGCTGGCGGGCGGGGTGAGGCGGAGAGCTCGGGGCACGCGCTGCCGTCCGGACCGCAGCTCTGCTAGCTGTGCAGCAGCCCTCGCACCGCCACTTCCTGCTCCTCCTCCCCCTCCCTAGATTTTTATTTGCAAAGGGCGGTAGGGGCGGGGCCTGCTCGCCGTTCCCTCCCTCCCCCCTTGCCTGCCCAGACACCGAACTTTGCGAAGGCAATTTTAAAAATCCCTCCCCCTATTGCAAAATTTGCGGAGTTCGAAGGAAAGCTATGTAAAAGGATGGGGGGTGGCGGGAGGGAGGTTAAGGTTAGGACTTGCTCCAATTCTCACTGAATATAAACCAGACTTTGGTGTCGGGGAAGAGAGTGAGCCGGCGGAAGGAAGGAAAAAGAAAGGAGGAAGAATTAGCAAGCTGCAGATTGAGCAAACTAAAGGGAGTTCGGGGAGCCCGGGGTTAAACGGAACGACTCCTCCTTCCCCCAC